CGCGTCGTGTCGGACAAATTTCGGCAATGTTTTCACAACCGTACAATTCCATGAAATTAAATAGCCATCGAAAATTGATACGAATGAGCAATATTTTTGATGGTTATTCTAAAAATACTTTTTGTTCCAGAATTTGAAAAATTTCAATTTGCCCTTCGAATGAAAATTTTGAAATAAAAACCTAACAAAAAAAAATCATGAAAAATTTCAATCAGCCTCAATGATTATCAATTTTTTCTGTTTTAAAGATAAATTTTTCAGATTTTTTAATTGATGCGCATATTAAGCCTATTAAAGCAACCGTATCAAAAACAACAAACACAAATTACAGTCATTCATCATTTCTCGGTATTGTTTTAAAAATAGATTCGTATTGATAATCATAATTATAACGATAATTGATAATTATAGCTAATATATATCGACAAAATTTATAATTGTGCTATTCGAAGTTTATTTTTTTCTTTATAAAAAGTTATTTTAGAACTTTTTTTTGGTATAATTTAAATTCTTTTCTAATATGCCAAACGGAAGTTTCAAAATAAACATCGTACTAAATATAAGTTTAGTATAAAGTCTATTTTGACGTTTTATTTAGGACAGTGTGAAAGAAGAGTGGATAAATCATTAATAATGAATATCATTCAATAATTAAGAGACCGCTAGTGATGTGTAAAGAATTGAATATGACTTGGTGATCTACTTTAAATTCAAAGTTATAAATTGGTATTTATTCCTCTCTTGATAATTCATTATAATAAAGACAGAGGAGAATCTGTATGCAAAATATATATTTCGAATCAAATCAATTATTCAAATTTCAGCTAATTCAACTCCTGCTAGTGACCTTTCCCGAATACATGTAACCCAGACGTACATTGATAATGTGCCAACAAATGATAATACTAGTGGTTTTGATTTTCACATATTACGAGCTAATCTTCGCCGCTTCTTTCAAAAAGTTCATCCGAGAGCGATAAAGGAAGAGAACAGTGTTACAATATATCATTTCAATCAGTTCATACCTATTTTATCGGATGAGGATTATCGTTAACAAAATCCATTCAACTATCTGTCACGAAGAGATTAATTGAACAAGTAATGAAAGTATTTATTAGATTTTGTTAAAGACCATTTTAATTTTTAAATGAGAATTTATCATTAGTATTCATTTATCAATATCAATGATTGTATATAGTGAAAGGTACTTTAATTGTTATCAACAAAAACTGAAGCATATTAACGTTTATTAGACGACTGTCTAACAAATTTGATAATAAATAAAAACTGCGCATCAAGAAGAGTTAAACAATTCATGAACTATTATTTAGCGATGAAAATATGATAATATAATAACACGTAATGGTAATTGGGATATGATAAAATACAATGATTATTGATTGTTTAAAAATATGGTAATTTAGATTTAATTTTCCTTACCTCACTGAAGTAATATACAAACAATAAATCTTTGTTTCTGTGAAAAAAAAGAAAATGAAAGATTTGAATAGGTTAATATTAATATTTGAGGAGATTAAATAAATCTGCGATTCACAGAATCATAATTTCAAATCATATTATTTGAAGATAAGAATAAAAGCGATATATTATCTTCAGTATTAATAACACGCTGTTTGGAACCATTACAATCGGGAAATTGTTTGGAAATGTAAGTTCTACATCATTTTATAGCTTGGAAAAAATTTACTGGAAAGGATAATAATGGAAGATAGGAATTATTGATTTTTCTTTTTTCTCTCAGCAATTTTTTTGTACTTTTTTATAATAAAATATAGTAGATGGAAAATGAGTAATTAAGAATTCCTGCTTATTATTATAATCGAAAAACGCAGCGTTGTGAACCATTCATATACAATGGATATAACGGTAACTCAAATCGTTTCCGTACGTTACGTCAATGTCAAACAACGTGCTATCAATTTCGTGGACTATCTCGTAGGTACTAAATTCTCCATTTACTATTTTCTTTTTTCTTCAGATATAGTTTGTATAATTTGATATCATTTATCTCGTCTCTATAGGTATTGGATCATATTTTTATACTATTTAATTTTGATCATTAATTAATCTCGAATTTAAGAATCATTACTATTCCTGGATTACTTATTTCTTATCAGATACCAATTTATAGTAATATTAATAAAAGCACCAAATCTATGAATCTCTTATTCAGAATCTCTTGTTTAAAACTCAGAAAAACAAATGAAGAAATTACGGTTACTATTTCATATGCTTGCAATATTGCCATAGATGGAATTATTTGATTTTGAAATATTGCATAAACTTTAGCTGTGGAAACGAATTGTTTTTTATCGCTTGATGGTGGCGATCAATTCCCAAATGAAAAGAAATTACTGGAATACGATATTATTACAATCAGAAGAATGGTACTTATATCAATAAACAAATAATCTCGAATTCTCGTAGCTCTGTTTTTTATCTCTGTAACAACTAATAAATTTGTATTCATTAATCGTTTTTTGAATCCAAATGCGATCCTTCACTTTCATTAATTTTTGTTTTTATGATTATCACTATTTTTCAGTCAATCAATACAGCATGCATTCCTGAAAAGACTTCCTAATGACAAAAATAATGATACCGCAATGATGGTTTTATTAATAACTAACATTTCAATAATTAACTTATGAATGCTAATAAAAAGATAAGAAATTAATAGGTCTATCATTGGGAAATAAGTTTTAGAACGCTGTGAGCGATTTTGGTATTCCGGATGTGCCGGAAATGGAAATCGTTTTTGCGTTGCCAACATATTCTAACGAAAATTGTTTTTAAAAAAGCCCTATATCCTGAAGATTTTACTTGCAAATTATTTTGGAATAAAATTTGAAGTTTTACTTCTAGCAATTTAATCCTATTGAAAGATCCGTGGCTTATAAATCTATTTTGTAATTTAAAGATTTTCCAGTATCTATTTATTTACAAGTATGGCCTTCATTTGTGCATAATTCATACAAAATTTGCACTAATTTTTTTTTTTTATTTTTCAGTTTGTTTCTAACCAATTAGTGAAGGAAAATGCTTGAAGAATGATCACAGAAGTGTTCAACAGTGGGTCTATAACTACGTTCAGCTACAATGTGTCACGTTTAACTACAGCGAATGCAACGGGAATCAGAATCGTTTCGCTGCCGAATATTCATGCAATGTTCTGTGTGAAGGCTTAAAACGTCCTTTGCAAGGTCATTTTTGCAACACATTAAATCAGAGCAGAACGAATGATTTATGTTGGAGGATTTAAAAATGAATTAGTAATTCTAATCCAAAATATTAAATATAACATTGTAATATAGGATTTTTTAAAGGAGAGTTTCTAATAAAAATAGAAGATTTTTCCTCAATTCTTGCTTTCTAATTTAAATTTGTAATTTTGGAACGCTGTATTGCATATCGGAAATGGAGTAATTGTAATCAATTAAGCTACCAATGGTTTTATAACCTGACCAAAGATACATGTGAGCAGTTTCTATGGGGTGATTGCAATGATGGCAATGAGAATCGATTTGATACATTTGTCAACAAACTTGTGAAATATTAACAAAAAGTTAATTTTTCACTCGTTCAAAGTTGTCAGTTTGTTTGAATTTTGAAATTTCGATATGTTCAATCAAGCATTCGCCTTTTTTAACATAATGACTCATTGTTGGAAAGATTGGTATGGAATTGATGAATCAGACTATCGTCGGTTCTTCAAAAAAAACCTTATTAATCATTTATTTTGAAGAAAACTGTAAAATATGAGTTTCAAATGAAAATAAGTATGAATTTGCAAAAAAGTATGAATTTAAAAAAAAGTTCCGAAAGATTTTCATAGATAAGCTTATTGTTTGACTTTTAAGCTTCGAGCTTGCGGTTTTTATCGCAGTGAATTCAATTCAAGTAAAAATATATTTAAATTAGAGAAAAAATTTCAATTTAAATATTCGATATTAATTTAAGATGAATGTTTCGAGCCATTGGATCGTGGACATTGGTGTCAATCAATGCCCAATCGTTATTATTATAATTTTGAGACAAATACCTGTACAAGTTTCCTTGGAAAAAGTCGAAATATATTCACAACACAGCAAGAGTGTGAGAAAAAGTATGTATAAATTTGAAATCAGACACTTAATTTTTATTAGCTAAGCTTTTTTCGCCTTATTGGAAACTAAGAAAAGGTCAAAGAACAGCAATAAGGTGCATTCTAACAATCAATTCAAAAAGTCAATATCAATTCAAAAATCGATTAAATTTGAATTTTGATCAAATGGCCATTTCAAATATTGGAGCAAAAGTTAGAGTAGTAGAAAAATTTTTCGTAAGCTACAGAAATTCATATGTTTTATTATACATTTAGATGTATCAATCAGATGAATTTATCATTCAAAATATCGTTATTAAATGTCAATTCATCTGAACAAATAAACTGTAAGTTATTCATTTTGACTAGAGTAGTCGTTCTGTTAATCACTATTTGAAATTGTATATCAACATGATTTTATCTTTTCATTTGTTATCAGATTGAAAATGAGAGATGAGAGGTTACAGGTAATTAGGAAATTTAAGTGATTTTTTTTTACTCTAATCATGGTGTAAAATCACTGGGAAAACAGATATCGCGAACACATCAAATTTCGATGGTAGATAGTACTTCCTATATAAAAAGCGATACTCATTGGCTTGAATATGGAATATGTATTGGTTATAGGTAATCAAATTTACATACTAAAGGTCAACAGCTTTAAAAGGTTGAGAAGTTCAGCATAATAAGAAAGTTGTGGTATTTTTTATCGACTGTAGAAATTACAAGTTATATTGACAGATGCGATTAAAGGTAATACTTATTAAAAAACTAACTTGAAAACTGAATCATGCTTTTCAGATATAATATTACTGGCGAAACCATACAGCTAACAAGCTATCTTTGTTTAATGGAATCAGATAGTATTTTTCATACACAGGTAGATTTTTCTATTTTAAAAAATAAATTTGAAGAAGTTTCAAAACAATCATTAATTTGAAGTCATACCGCCTTATTTATTCTTCTCATATTTTGCCAAAGTTTGCAAATTTAATTCTTATCAAATGAGATGATATAAGTAATAAAGATAAGAATTATTTATCAAATTAAAGCCAGTGATAGGGAAATCATTTCTTATCATTGCAGATTTTATCAATTACAAATGGTGACGAGAAATGCCATTTGGTACAACTGTGGCTGAAAGGTATTCATCTATATTAGTTCTTTACTATCGATCGGCAATCATATCCGATCGGTAAGCAGGCTTTGAAGGAAACAATCCAAATGACTGTGATAGCATATGTTGATAATTGTTATCACCCGCTTGAAATACACATCAAATCATTCAGAACACTGAAAAAAGATAAGAAATAAAGTATTTGCAAATAGATTTGATGATAGTATTTGCTAACGAATGCAATGATATAACATTTTGGCTTATCTAATTATTCTCGGCTAATTATTCCCACCTATCCTAATATTATTTTCATGAATTTAGTTCATTTTTCTTTTATGGACTCGTTCAAGTTTCATCCATTCATGAAAGATAGAATCGGGATTTTATGGCAGGAAAATACTATGACACATGCTATTTTGATAAATGTTCCATAAATTTCAAAAAAAAGCTAAAAAAAATTAAAGCATCGATTAAATGCATATATTTTTTTTTTAATTTCTTTACTTATATTGATCTCGATATAAATTTAAATTTAATGCAACTTTTATAACTTCAAAAAAAATTTAAGCAAAATCACCTGCCATGAGCTTGCATTGCAAGGAAAAAAAATACTGCAAATGAAAGAAGGTATATTACTTCGATGGAAATTTGCAATGAGTGAGTCGGACATTGCAACCTTCGTAGTAAAGTGACCTATTTGTTATAAAAATTATTTTCTGCATTGGTACTACGATAACCTGAAATGATTCCATCTTTCATTTCATTTCATATTTCAAATTTGCCCCATTTATTTTCCTGTAATTATTTTCTGTGAAATTTCTATTATAATTAAATGAGTTTATGAAAAAATTTAGTACCTGTGTTACAGTTTCATATTTCAAACTGTAATCATTTCTTTCATTGCATTCATGAAATGATATTAGAAGTTATTCATTTCTAGAAATTCTGAAATCATATCAGTTATTATTGATAATATAATTATCAATGCGTATCAATTTTTTGTAATTTTCCTAAAAAATTTTTCCCTATTCATTTAATGTTTGATCATTTGTGACTAAACAGATCTCATTTCTGATTTTATTCAAACTAATAAACCTTTTATAACTTTATTATAACTTTATTTGTTTCAACATTTAATCGTATTTAATTGAAAATTTAGTTAAATAGAAGGCCGGCGAGGAATACGCAGAAAACCACTGGAAGTGAAATATTGCAGGTCATCAAAATGTGATTTCGTAAACTCTCAAGATTTATTAATCTTTTTGCATCATTTTTGTTCCGTTTGTTTGTTCCTTTTCGCAAATTAGTGGATGATAAAATAAAACCTTATCGGTAAATTTTATACAAATTTTTTCAGATTTTTCCTTCTCTTCTTTTCTTTTCCTTTTGTTGCTGTTTAAATGTAAACAAATAATTGTAAAAAATTTTGAATGAAATTGATTCCATTAAGATTGAATTTAGTTGAATTCTGAAACAGAAATTAACGAGGTATCATTCGTTGCTTTCAACTATCACTTCCATTTCTTCACCTTTGTCCTTCATCTGATGACGATGAGCCACTGGACAACAAATGAATTTTAGTGGAATTTCTCAGCTCACAAGTAAAAGCAGAAAAGAACCGGTTCTAAAGGAAAGAATTACCGGAAAATATGAAATTTGTTGTTGTTGTTGTTATTTATTGATAGGATAGGATAGGTCGAGTAGGTAATATTTAGGGTGGATGGTTTTAATAATGGATATTTATTGGAAGTGTGAGAGATGGAAGAAATGGAAAGGTAAATGGATTGCATTAATGAGAAAAATTTTAGAGAGGTGTAACAACGATGTGGACATTTATGAAAAAGTGTGAAATTCGGAAGTGATGTGAAAGAATGAAGGGAGAAAGTAAGAAGTTGAAAAAAAATAGCTGAAATTTGTTAGAAAAAAAAATTTTTTTTTTTAAATGATATTTTGGAAATTTATATAATATATGTGTGACAGATGAGTTGGCAAATCAAATGGACAGAACAGAGCGGTTGCGTTCCCCACAGATGACCAAATGATATGAATGGGGAATATTTGATTCGTTTATTTCTTACAATTAGATTTGAAAAAATTTTTTGAAACAATAATTTTGCTAAGCTTTTACAAAATTGGAAATGTGCTTTTTGTGTATTCCATAAATCATTAAAACTAACTTTAACGTTTAATTAAAAGATAGTTGTCATTATTTATGCCTTTAAATGAATGATCAAATCATGTTCATAACATATTTAACAAATCATTTCAATGGTCATTGATTGCTATCAATAAACAAACACAATTGCTTTCCCTCTAAAAATTATAAATCTTTTATGAATAAATTTTTGCAATTTTTAATATTTCACTCATTTATTAGCTAAATTCTCGTTTGCTTGTTTTGATATTTCGACAAATTAAACAATACATCTTTTTATCAATTTTTTAAGAGGTTGTTTCTACCAGTTTACTTTATCAAAAAAACTCACCGGTTGTCAATTAAATGTATGTAATCTTTTAATCCAAAGAATAACAAATGAATATGATAATACCATATAGCAAGTGCTACTGAAAGCTTCTATCAAAAAAAAAAACAAAAAGAAGAACAATTAACAGATTTTATACTAATGATTTGTTGAATTAACTTAATTCAATCAACTTAATTATTTGTAACGAAAATAATTTCAGAAATTAAGATAAAAACTGAAGTTTTAATTTCCTTATTTATAACTTTTCAGTGAGAACTTACCATTAATATGATAATAGAAGTTACTATTAGTAAATGGTAGTAGTAATGCAGTAAATAATATTTGCATAGGAAAACCAAATTGGTTACCCTCCATGATTAACTATTTGTGTTATCAACTACGTGCTAATATTTTTCGTCATGTTTACTTTTTTTTTCTCTCCAACCTTTCAAGAGATTATTATCGTATAATTTTTCCTTTGTAATAAACCTGATTGCTGCTTGTTCAGTTAAATCTTTTAATTATAGTCTTCAGAATGGTTAAATGTGTAAGATTAATAGCGGTATTGTAAATGTCTGGTAAATACTTAATAATTACTGTGTAATTCAGAGTTATACAGTACACTTACAGCGGACAGTAATATTTTAGTACCAATGATAAATGATGTTTTTACTTAGGATCATTTTTGATTAATCTTTTTCATTTATTTG